ATGTCGTCCTGCTTTTTATCTCTTTTCCTTATATTGCATATCCTGCAATATGATTTGGGGGAGAGGCAGGTCTTATTTGAACTGGCAGTTAAACAAGTTAAAACATACGCACATGCACACACCCCTCCACATTCAGATTTGGAAGCACTGGCCAATCGCAGGAAATCCATCAGTTCCTCTGAAGGGGTGTATGAGGAACAAGTGTTGGTTGCTAAGCATGGAAAATAAACCAGTAAGTGAGTGACATCACCTCAGAGTTATGAAGTGGAGACTGAGAGATGGGTGGGACTTTGTACGGACACACAGTCTTAAAAAAAAAATCAGCCTTCCTGCCATTCCCAGGTCTGCAACTAGCTTTCCTTCAACAGATCCGTGAACGTGGACTTTGCTTTTTGAATACTAATGAAGTGGCAGGGAAAAGGGTAGAAGAAGGAGCAGATTTTGCTTTTCACTCAGAAGGTCACATAGAAACCTTTCTGCAGGCACATTTTCCTGGCGCCAGTCTCTCTAAAGTTTTTGAAAGTGTTGTCCATGGACTACCTGCATTACAATTATCTGGGGGGTGACGGAAGAAGCACAGCAATGCTCGTTATAAAGGCACATTATGGACCCCAATCCAGACCTACTGTTGCTAAAGCTCTGGGATAGGATTCAGGAATCTGCATTTTAAATAGCTCCCCAGGTAATTCCGACATCGTAAAGTTTGAGAGGCATTGTTTCAAAGAGGTATCAAAAAGTCAAGGAAGCTCCCCAGGTCTTATTAGGCGTCCGGTCCCCTTATAGCGTTTGGCAAGTACGGTAGCCTTCAGTAACTGCTGAATTTTAAGGGGCCGTCCAGACCACCTACATTCTCCCAGCCCCGGAGCCCCAGAATCAGGGAGTAAAGGAGAAAACTTTGTAAGCTTTGAAGAGGGCCACAGAAATCAACGCATTTCTCTGCTCACAGCTTTACTCCGGCCTCCAGGAGTCCGGACTGAGTACAGTCTGGCCGCTCCTTGCCTGGCGCGCCCCGTGTGCAGCCCCCGCCCCAGGCTCTCCGAGGACCACGGAGTCCCCGAACAGCGGCACTACTGCCGGACCCTCCTTGGCCCCTTCTGGCACTCACAGACCGCTCGGCCCGGGGCCGCTCCTCTCCCCTCCATGTTCCTCCTTCTCCCAGGTTTGAATCTCCCGCCGCCCGGCCACCGCCCCTCACCGTCGCCACAGGCAGACAGGGCACTTCCGGCCTGTGCCGCAGGGGCCTCTGGGACTTGTAGTTCCAGGCTCCAGAGGTGCGCCGCCAGGTGGGAAGAAGGGCACCGCTCCCCTTCCTGCGGTACTCTGGGATTCTCTTTCTGAGCTCCTTCGCTGCCAAACGGCCTTATTTCAAGCAGTCCCTGCCCCTGCCTCTATCATTCCCCCCTAGTATTCCCATTAGCCCCGCTCCACTTCCTACATTATTATTCGGTCCTGCTAATTTGAGGTCCTACTTGATGCTATGCACTAAATTGGGGATGCAGAGATGAACAAGCACAATTCATGCCCTAAAGAATCTTGCTGTTCTGGAATGAGTGATAAACATATAGGCCAAATAAATTAGAGGTTAGTGATACACAGACAGAGGAGATAATGGCTGTAATTAAGAGCAGTGAAATATAGGAAGACTACCTAGTGGAGGTCACAGTCAGGGTTGAAAAGTTAACTAGAATTGGTATCAGACTGAAGGAGAGAGGAATTTTACTCAGTGGAAACAGCATGTGCAAGATCAAGGAGGAAACTGAGGTTGAAAATTGGTAGAGCCACAATTCAAATTCTCAGTCCAACCCCAAGCTTAAGGTCTCAACCACTATATACTATACCACCCCCAAGGCCCCAGCCATGAGACTGCAGAGGAGAACATACACCGGAGAGAAGTTTCAGAGGTAGAATCAATAGCACTGAGAGCTGGAGGAGAGGGGAGCCATGAATGTCTCTCATGTTTCTAGTTTGAAGACTGGGTTAGTGGTTTATTGACTAGCAGTGAATAAATAGGATGGGGAGATTTGAGGAAATAGGAATTTCACTCAGACAAGCTAAGTTTAGAGGTATACATTTAGAAATTATTGGCAGTGTTAAAATCAAAGGAGTGAACAAAAACACTAATTGGAAAAGATACTAACACCCCAATGTTTACTATAGCAGCACATTTGCAATAGCCAAGACATGCAAGTAACCCAAGTGCCCATCAACAGACGATTGGTTTAAGAAGATATGAAATATACATATATAGAGAGAATATTAGTCATAAAAGGAAAGAAATATTGCCATTTGTAGCAACGTGGATGGGCCTAGAGATTATGCTTAATGAAATAAGTCAGAGAAAGGCAAGTACTATAGGATATCACTTATATATGGAATCTGAAAAACAATACAAATGAATGTATACACAAAACAGAAACAGACTCAGACACAAAAAACAAATTTGTGGTTACCAAAGGGGAGAGGGTGGCAGGGAGGGACAAATTAGGGGTATGAGATTAACAGATAAAACTACTATACATAAAATAGGTAAGCAACAAGGATTACTGTGTAGCACAGGGAATCATATCTAGTATCTTGTAATAATCTATAATGGAATATAATTTGTAAAAATACTGAGTCACTACTATACATGTGAAACTAACACAATCTTATAAATCGACTATACTTCAGTTAAAGTCTAAGGAGTGGATGAAGTGTTCAAAGAAGATTATGTGAAGTAAGAAAAGAGCAAAGGGCAAAGTTTTGGGGAACACTAGCATTTAAGAGGTGGACAGAGGGCAAGCAAAAGAGATGGAGGAGTTGTCAGCACAGAAGAAAGACAGCCAGGACACAGTGGGTTGTGGAAGCCAAGCGAGGAGAGAGTTGCAAGGATATGTCAGATACAGCAAGGAAAAATGAGACCAAGATGATTGCTTGATCATTGAGAGATCACTGGAATCTTATTGAGAGCAGTTTCAGTCCCTGACCCCTCCCCAGGTCATTCTGTCCCCTTAAGAGGGGCTGCTGAGTGAACAACAGACTGAGCTGCAAATTTGGCTCTGGCCAGGCTGTGGTAGCATCTTCAGGCAGTTAGGAAAGCCCCCCTCAGGGATGGGCTCCATCTCTGGCACACAGCACCATGCCTTCAACACAGCAGGCATTCAGTAAAAGCTGCCCAGCAAATGCAGGTGAGCCCAGCTACTTCCTTATAATTTTGATTCTGACCATGGCCTCTCTACTTAAAAAGAGGCCTTTCCCCTGGGAAAATGAGGACATTTGCTTTCTGATGCAGGCCACCCTTGGTGAGTTAGGGCAGTAAGTGCCCATTGTCCTGGGGCCTGCTGTCTTCTCATTAAGCAGATCTTGAAGGCTGCAGTGGAGCTGGGAAAAGGAGTCCGGGGGCAGAGAGGCTCTTCTGATCTCCAGGCCTTTCCTGCCCATCAACCTTTCACCCTGTTCTCAAATATGAAACTACTACACAGTGTGTAAGAATGTGTCTCTGTTCATATAGGTATATGTGAAAGAGCTCACCTTCTGGGACAGCCCAAGCCTTGTTAAAGCTTGCAATCACAGTTAGTGGAAGGGACCAGAGTCAGAAAACCTGAGCTCTAACCCCAGCTACATGCCTGCTCTGTGACCTCAGGCAAGTCACACCTGTTCTCTGAGGTCCTTTCCTCTGTGAAATGAGGGAATGGGATAGATGATCTTTGAAGTTGTAACTAGTAATAAGCCCTTGATGGAGCATGACTGCAGCGGTGGGGAGGGGTGGGGCAGGAAAGACAATGGAATCCAGGTATCTGTGCCCAAGCAGCAGCCGAATTCAGCACTAAGATAGGGCAGCTGAGCTGTCAGTCAAAGAATTCCCTAGGAGTGGAGGGCAGTACCTGGTTGTCTGGTAACCCCAGGGGCTCAAGAGCTAAGAGCTAAGGGAGGTAACCCTAGCCAGAGGGACCATTCCAGAAAGCCAGCTACAGGGAACATCAAAGGAGGTAAGGCATCCTGCAGCTGGGGCACCAAGACCCGGTGGGGGTAGCCAGGAATGCCCCAGGTACAAGGGTCTTAAAGAGACAGGAGTCCTGGGTGTTTTAGGAGCAGGGGTGGGGGGGTTCTTTAAAAAGAGAATGTATCACCTCTACCTACTTCCAAAAAAGGAAAAAAAAAAAAAAGAAGAAAAAAAAAAAAGGGAAGAAAATTGGAGGGGCTGGGAATTTGGTTAATTCATTTCCTCCATCTTTTCCACCCCTTTTCCTGTCTCCTGGGAGGAGAGTTCAATGAAAAGGCTTTGCCTTTCTAGGGGGGAGATACTAATGGGAAACACATGCTCATGAGAGAAACGTATTTGGGTTTAAGATTCTCTGGAGACCAGAGCAGGATGTTGGGAAACTGGAACTAGCCAGCAGACAGAAAGCCAAGGAGGTAGGGGAAAAGGTTCCCCTTGAGATAAGGAGCAGGCAGTAAATGGAGAGACAGAAGCCTCGCTCCTAGAAGTTGGCTCCTTGCCAATTCAATGGCCTATTCAGCTTTGTGCCCCCCCCATGCTTTGTATGGCTCCTAGCACATAGAAGGAGCTCACTGAATATACTGAACCGACCTGAATTATATCTTGAAACGAGACAGCAGGAGAACCTAGATTATGAGTGGATGGGTGTACATGGAGGCACATGGTGGAGGCGATGGTGGAGGAGAGGCCCTGTATGTGCTCCATTCATTCATCCTTTCATTTATTCATTTAGTAAATATTATTGAGAATCTATGTGGCAGACCCTTACATTGCTCCAAATCTAGTAGGAAGAAAGCTGTTACTTGCACTGAGTCTTAGAGGACTAAAAATTAATTGGGACGTTAGAGTGTGAGTTGATACGTTGTCCAGAGTGATCAGTGAAGCAAAGTGAAGGCAGAGAGAAATCCTTGCAACACCAAGGGTCAGAGGTGGAGGTAGAGCTGATCTGCACTAGATGAACAGCACTTTGGAGAAAGACAAGGGTGACATACTGACCCCTCTGCTTCCCCTTGTCAGCACTATGGCTTCCCTCAACACTGAGGATACCCTCCAAGAGCCCTCACCCTCAAGTTCTGAGAAGAAAAAGAAAAGAAAGTGGCCACAGCAAGAGGCCAGCATCCAAGACCTGACCTTGGCTGGCCACAGGGCCCTCCTGGCTGGCCAGAACCATGAGGCCTTGACTAGCTTCCAGAAAGCCTTCCTCCTGGCTTCTAAAGCACCACAAACCAGGGACAACCCCATTCTCTGGGCCTGTGCCTTCAATCTGGGGGCTGCTTATGTGGAGACTGGGGACCCAGCCAGAGGCCTTGAGCTGCTCCTACAGGCCCAACCTCAAAAGAAGGCCCAGGGCAGGTGTCATGGTGACCAGTGTTTCAATGTGGCTTTGGCCTACCAAGCCCTAGGCAACCTGCCTCAAGCTTTGGCCTGGTACCACAAGGCCCTGGGCCACTACCAGCCACTAGGCGACCAGGGGCAAGCCCATGCAAAAATGGGAGCCTGTTACCAGGCCCTGGGACAGCCTGAGCTAGCAGCCCACTGCCTGCAGGAAGCCAGCCAGGCCTATGCCCAAGCAGAGCAGCCCCGGGCTGCAGCCCTTGCACTGGGGGCTGCAGCGGGCTGTATGCTGAAGAGTGGGCAGCATGGGGTGGGTGAAGTGGTGCAGGTGCTGGAAGAGAGCCGGAGGCTTGCTGAGAGGAGCACTGAGCCAGGACTGCTAGGTGAGGAGGCCTTTGGGCACAAAGGTGTGGGATCTGGGGAGATTCAGACCCGGTGATACTCTGAGGAGCAGCGTGGAAGCATTTCTGAGGGCTGGGGGAACCCTGGGAGAGCAGGGAAGAGGCTGCACTAGTACAGCTTCAGCTGCCTCTGACCTGGCTACCAGTGACCTTGGCCACGCCCTCTAGGGCGACTCTATAATGACCTAGGCCTGGGCTACTCCCAGCTCCAGCTGTTCCCGCTAGCAGCAGAGGCCTTCCTGCAGGCCCTGCCCCTGTGCCGGGGGCCAGGAGAGGAGGCCACGGTGCTAAGAAACCTTGGGATGGCCCACAATGCCCTTGGCAACTATCAGAAAGCCCAGGAGTTTCACCAGAAGGCTGCTGACCTGCATGGTGGGTACCAGGGTCTGGGGAACGGGATTGGGACCAAAGGACTAAAAGGGGGTTCCAGCTGGGGCCCCAAGGCTGAAGAGTAGATGGATATTTAAGACTGATTATGGGGCTGAGAATTTCAGAATCAGAAAGGTGAGGACTAGGGGAACAGGAGATGAGATAACCAGACAGGACAGAGGGATGGGCCCAGAGGCTGAGGCCTGGGAAGGCAGCAATGGGCAGAAGGAAAAGCCCTGGCTGGGAGAGGAAGCTTGAATCAAGAGCAGCCCAGTGTGGAGTGACTGATGTTCAGCTTTTGCTTTCGAGCTTGTTTCCACACGTATGAAAAAACAGAGCTATTAATACCTGCCTTGCCTGCGTTTTTGCCTGCCTCAAACTAGCCAAGGGGGAGGCATTCAGGCCAAAACCTAGGGCAAAGAGGCTGTTTTGAGAGCTCAGGCCTCTGTGGGTGCATCTGGAGGTGTGCTAGGGTTGAGCACCTGGACTCCTGGCAACTCTCCCTTAATTGTTGGGGGTAGGGTCCTGATGCCCCAGCAGCTGAGGTCCTCTCAGGAGGGTGTGTACTCTTGTCACCAGGTGCTGTGGGGCAGCGGTGGGAGCAGGGCCGGAGCTTTGGCAGCCTGGCATTTGCACTGAGCCAGCTGGGGGACCACAAGGCCGCCAGGGACAACTACCTGCATGCTCTGCAGGCTGCACGGGACACTGGTGAGGGTGAGGCGGCTGGCAGGTGGCTTAGGGTGGGGAAAGGCTGAGGGTCCCCTTGGGGCTGGTGGGGAGGCAGATGAAAGGACTTGGGGGTGGGGAGGACCTCTGAAGGGGAGGGTCAGTGTAGGGAGCCAAGGGAGGACCTCTCAGGCTCTCTTCCCCAGGGGATATGAAGGGGCAGTGGCAGGCCTGTGAAGGTCTGGGAGCTGCTGCAGCCAGACTGGGGCAGCATGACCAGGCCTTGAAGTACTATGAGGAAGCACTGGCCTGGTGTCAGGTGAGACCCTCCATCCCAGAATCTAAAACTTCCCTGCTATCCCCTCCAGCTGCTATCCCTTCTCTGGCTGACATGCCTGCCTTTCCCCCACCATTTATTCACTCATCAAACAAGCATCAGGCACAGTGGGTGCTAGGTCCTGGGACTATTGAGACAGTCTATCTCTGTCTACAGTTCCGGGCAGGCAGCAGCAGGACCCTGGCAAAGGCACCCTGATGGGGTAGAAAAGAAGGGAGACAAAATCCCCCCTTCCCTCCCCCTTTCCTGTTTCTTTCTTCCCCAGTCCCCAGAGGATTGCAAAGCCCAGGCCTTCCCCATTACCCACCCTCTTCCCAGAAGGAGCCAGATTCTGTACGAGAGCGGCTGGTGGCCAAGCTGGCAGACGCCATGAGGACCCACTTGGCCCAGGGTGGACTGGTCCCAACTCACACTCTGGTGAGATGACACCTCAGACAAGGAGCTGGAGGGTGGGGAGAGGTTACCCAGAGCAAGGGGTGGTGTGATGAGCAGAGCTGATGTCCTCAGGGATGTTGCACTTGGCTGCTCATCTGTGGTCATCTG